TCTCCTGGGTTTGCAGTCTTGAAAGTTCCGATATTCATTTGCACATTTTAATATGCAATTTAATGCAAATTGCAAAGTACATCTGACATAAAAGTGTCCTTCATTGAATGTAAAACCTGCACCCCCCTTCTTTCTTATTCTTCTAGTATCTGCTGTGCAGTAATTATGCATAAGTAGTACTCTAAATTATAAGGACCCACCCACAGAGCTTTACACTAGTTAGCACTTTATTTTTGAATGCATTTAAAAAATATTGTTTTTTAAATGTTTTCTTCAGACTCAAAGTAATTATGGGAACTGTAGTTCCAAAGCATGATTATCCCCAAAATCGAAGTAGTCAAAGAATGATAATGGGAGTTACAAATCCATGAATGCTACCTTTTGTCGTGTTCCACTATTAATAATAGAATGGAAGGAGACTGGGCGGTTGGGGAGACACAATTCACATCATTCTGTCAGAGGGTGGCCTCAGTGTCGGACCGTTCACATTCCTTATTGTGATTTTTGCACTTTTACATACTTGCACTACTTTTACACCTGGCAGATGAATGAAATCCAACCCAACGGGTCGAGTGTGCAATGTGACAATTTAGATTTTTGATTTATGATACATGCAGAGTCAACCGTATGGCCGCGAATGTTAAAGTGACGTAGATGCGCTCCTTTAGGTTTTAACTTGTCTCAGATATTATGGAGGCACATATAAGAATACAAATACAAAGCTTCCAGAGTTTAAAATGATGTTTTGTGTGTTTTTTTTAAAGCAGTTATGTATTTTTGCTTTCTTTCAAACCTGTGTTTTTATATTCTCCCGAAAGACGAGACCTACGTCAAATGACACACACGTCTCCCACTCTATCACACCTTTAATATACACACACACACACACTGTTGCAGAAAGCACACAGATCTCTATCAGATTTTAGGGTTTGTAATGAGACGCAGGCTCCCGGCAGCAGCCCACCGTGTGTGTTTGTGCGTGTGCATACTGTGATTTGCATAGTTATTGGTGAAGTGTACTCTATGAATGCCATTGTGTCGTAATGCATATCTGCACTGTCTCTGTATATTGTCTCTTGGTCTCTCTCTCTCTCTCGTTCCTCTTGTTGTTTCACCCGTTTTCTCCTCTGTTTTCCCTCCCGGGCCTCCCCTCTTCTCAGCGCCCTCTGCGTATCAACCCGTACCTGCAGTGTCCTCCCTCTGAGCATCTCTCAGCCAATCTCCGTCACGCCACGCATTGTCAGCGGGTTTGAAAGATGAAAAGAGGGAGGCAGGCTGGCAGGGAGGGAGAGTATGATGTTGAATAAAGAGGAGTAGAGATGGACAGAGAAACTGATGCATTAAGACTGAGAAGGGAGTAATGGGGAGTGAGCTACTGACAGAGAAGTGAGTCGGATGAGGAGAGGGGAGGCGGGTGAAGGAGAGCATAGCGGGAATAAAAGAGAGACGGATGAAAGAAGGTATTCATGGAGGTAAGGACAGGTGGCACGGAGGGAAGGAGCGCCACTGCGTGCTGGGTAGCAGAGCTGCCGGTAAACACCAGAGCACCATGGCGAGTGACAACCTCTGCAGGACTGAATTAGCACTCATTCTGTCTCTCTCTCTGTCTCTGCCCGTGTCTTTTTGTTTTCTCTCCTTTGTGTAGCTCACCCTCTACACATCTAGCTACACTGCAGAACACGGGCTGCACTCGATGCACTCAGTATGTACCCATGTTGTCATTACAGCCACGCTAATGCAATTAATTAGACAGCAATGCCCATTTCTAAATTTAGAAAGCCATCACAATATGTTGGGCACGAGATACTTGCAGCCGCCTGTGCCTGAATGTGTGCTAAGTGACGCTCCTTTTAGAATTGAGACAGATTAGCGGCTGCTGACTTCATTGAATTCATTTGAACAATCAAAATATTGCACTTCCATGGCGTTAGGGGCCTTAATAGAAACGGATGGTCACAATAGATGCAGCGGAGATATCCTGACTGTCGGGCCCTGGCATAGGTGAAGCTCCAGAAACACAGGCTCCTACATTTCCCATAATGCAACTGTGTTTTTCTTGATGTTACACCCAACTTGCCTTACATCTTTTAAACACTTTGTAACAGAGGGTTTCTGTTGGCAATATAAAGTCATTAGGTCAAGGTAACCTGGATGACATCATCAGGGTTCATTTCTCAGACTTGAGACAAACCCACAGAAGACATCGCACCACAGTTTTTACAAGCTGAGTAGACTCCCCATGGCGGGTAAAGTTATCTTTAAGTCTTAAAGTGGTCAAGTCAATAGACATATAATTAATGTGCGATAGCTTTCATAATCCAATATTCATTTATTTAGAAAGCACTAAAGAGTAAGTGGTCACAACTTTCTGAGCGCGAGTATCTGCCGGCTTTCATTCATTTCATATCATTGCAAATTGAATATGTTTCAATTGTGTGATATTGGCCAGACAGCAGAAGCAGTTTTAAGACATCTCTTACGTCTCTGCAAATTTGAGATTATGATATACTAATATTCTAAATAATGACTGCATGAATAAAAAAATCTGTAGACAAAAATAATTGTTAGTTGCATCCCAAGTGCAAAATCCGATCTTTACTCGTCATTGTGTCTCATTGTTGCAGTGTGTGCCTCCTCCTTTAAATTGACACAATTTAAATTGAGTGATTTCTTGATTTTCCTCTTCTCTTTTTCTCTGTCCACACACTCTTTGTCTTTACACAGACTTAACGGAAATCAACTAGAAATGGTTCATTTTAAAACTATTGAGAGATGATGGTTTGGGTCGGCATGTATTCTATCCACATTTTTAGCATTTTAAATGTCTTCTGTCTTCGTCAGCCACAGGCTTTGATAATATTAGAAATCCAACTTTGGAAACGAATATAATTACCTTAGGGCAACTACAGACGGGTTGCGGAGGTCAAAACGCCAGCAACACTTGTATAAAGAACAACTTCATTGTTTAGTCCCACGAGCTTCAGCTTGTGGAGTTCATCAGGCTCATCGTCAACCACAGACAGTTTGACGTTTTTCTTATCTGATTTGAAATATGCAACAGTACAAGAAGGACTTGCTGTCTTATTATCTTCAGCAGCACATCACGTCGTCCGTCCCGCTTTTCCTCTTCTTTCTCTGCCGCTCGCTCAGTTGCGGAGACAGCCACACTCGGCTTCTCCTCCTCGCCTGCTTTTTGTACTGTCATTCATCATCAGTGTCATTCGGTTTTCCATACCACGTGGCACAACATCTGTTCGGGAGTGTCGCACTTGCCCTGTTTGAAAAAAAGGACTCGGAGAAGCAGTGCGACGAGAGAAGCCTGGAAGCAGTTTGCCCTCTCTGTGTCTGGTGTCAATTTACGTGCCGACCTCTGAACACAGAGCGCACATGCAGTGTCTTTGGGAAATGGCCGAATCTCAGCAAACCAAATATCGGATATTCTTGTTCTGTGTTTTTGTTCCACAGCAGTGAAAACTGGTGGTATCTTCCTTTAATTTTGTTTTGTTTTCTTTAGAGATCTTTCTCAAAGACTTAAGAAAGTCACAGCAAGAAAAGCAAAGGTGTAGGTAATAACATTAATGATGGTCTCCCTCCGTTTAGGTGTCCCAGTGAGCCGTGACAATGAGGATACATGCGTCACACCGGGGTCCTGGTCCTTGAACCCTTAATTGTAATTCAGTGCTCCTTAGTGTTGTAAGACGCACCTGTGATCCTCCTGCTTTTATGTATCTAAACATCTGCAGTGTAATTGGTCTGTGGCTCATTAAGAACAGGTCCAGCTTAAGGGAACATCACAGAGTAAACCAAAGGAATCTGATTATTGACATCATCTGTTACGGACCTAAATTCAGTCATATTTACACATGATGCAATCATCAATAAATGTCTCAACCCCATGTAATACAGCTGAGAACAACAGCTAGTGTGTCATAAACAAACATTCCAGTCAAAGAGAGAAAAACTATCATGTAATGTCGACGTCCTCCTGGATCCATATTCTTATACGTGTTTAAAATATATCTAGGATTGTTGTCATCCTGATTGTCCATACTGTAGCGTTGGTCTCCCCTTTACACGTGACATCTATTGCACGTCTGTCCGTCATTGAAGATGTTGCTCTTCCATTTTTTCCCCTGTTAAAACTTTCCTTATCTGAATCAAGGGCCAAAAGACAGAGCGTGTCAGAGGATGCTGAAGAGATTGTAAACCTCCTTTAGGCAAATTCGGTATTTGTCATATTGGGCTATATCAATCAAATTGAGTTGACTCGATGCATTAAATATTTTGTGTATCAGAACTGCAACTAATGATGATTTTCATGAATATACCGTCATTGTTACGATGAATTGTTTGGTTTTAAGAAGAATACCCCAAAAAATGTTTATACGGTGTTCAGTTCAATTCTAAAATACTTTATTCGTCCCTCAGGGGCAATTTAAGACGAGCAATACACAGACAATTCATTTACACACACAAAAAATACAAACATCACCAATGAGTTAGAAAGACGTCTGTGTGTGTGTGTGTGTGTGTGGGGGTAAAATCTGAATCTAAACCTGGCGCGCTGAGCTGCTTGGGCTTTGAAGAGCTGTTGTTTTGATTTTGGGAGGCTCCGCACCTGTGCATGAGATGAAGCCTGCGCGGGATTGTGATAATAATAATTAATAGAGATGAGAATCAGCGGAGAAAATGATTCTTCAAGTCAACTGCCGTTGTTAAAAGGCATCAAAGAGACGAGCGCCGCTTGGATGCGTGTTTGCTCGGAGGAAAACAAGCAGGTGTTCCTGTGATCCGGCTCGCACGTAGAACAGGAACAACTTCTTTGTTTGCCAGGAAGTGCGCGCGCTCAAAGTCAACTCCGGAACAAATCCGTGGCATTCTGATTGGATGGGAAATTATTAAAATAGGACAGTTTTGGAAAACAAAGGCTCGTTCTTCCCCTCTGGTTCAGTCAAACATTGTTGCTTCTCAGCCTAATTCTCTGTGTCTGTTTGTGGCAGATGGCGACGGCTACCAGGACCACCTCCTCCCCGTGTGTCTGGATGCCTCCTGTCAACGCAGTGCCATCTACATGGCCAAGTCTGGCTCAAAGGAGGTACATGACACACACACAAGCAAGCCATTCCCTAGGTTTTTCTTCTCAGTAAACTTATTTTTGTTTTGTTGCATTTATCACTCTTCTATAGCTAGATGCTATAACGCCACTCTGCTCTCTTTACCTCTGCTCAAATCTGTCCGACTCTGAGACACCGCCTTGTTCTCTGTTCCACTCTTCTGACACTGTTCTGTTCAAATGTCTCTTTTCTACTAGTTCTCGTTCCATTCAGAGGGCGCGTAGAATCTAGAGTTCCCTATTGTTAGGGGGATCATTTGACCCTACCGTCCACCCTGACCCCATGTAACACTACTTAGGCCGAGGTTCCACTTGTCTTTTCAACACGGCTTTCGTAAGTGGAAGCGTTGGATTGGAACACAGCTGTTCCCGCATATGTGGGTCCACACTTCAATGCGACTTGCCTGACCGAATGTATTTTATTGTGAAAGGAGCAGCTGTCAAACGGTGGATGAACAGATTTCATTTCTTATAAAAAAAAATGTATACATAATTTTTACTCTTCCTCCTTATTGAAGAAAATCCGGCAACAAAGCTCCGGCGATTTAACTTTTCTTTAAGTTCTTCACAATAAAAGTCCTCCGTATGAGTATATTTATTTTATTGACGAAAATAGGCTAAAGCGCCTCTAATTTCAGTGACAAACACACGTTCCTATAAATTCTTAACAATTTAAACCCCTGTTATCATGTAATTTCAAAGCTTTTATTCTGAAGCTGCACGCGTTTGTTTCTCCGTCTGTCTATTTCAGGAAGGCATTAAACACGCGGCTTACTGCTTAGAAACACATCGGGGGCCGATCTGGCGGGTGCCACTTTGTTTGCAGAACCATGCGAGATAGAAATAACAGATACACACGGGCACACCTTCAATCCCATCTGAATAATGCACAGCGTATACGTGCACGGATAAGCTCACACACAGTTGCTCTCACAGGAAGACACACACACACACACACACACACACACACACACACACACACACACACCACCTACGTAGCATCTTGTGTGATTCTTTTCAGTTACATCCTACCAGTTGGCAAGAGCCCCCACTCTTTCTTCTTCCTTCCTCTGCCACCAGAGAACAAGCTTCCACTTTTTTTTTCTTTTTTTTTTTCTTCCCGTACCCAAAATATAAATATTACAGACTTATCTGCATGTCCGCCCCTACACGCACGCACGCACGCACGCACGCATAAACAACACAGACACACAGCTGCGCACTCCATGTGGACATGCCTTTTTTTTTGTTTGCCTGTCAGCAAAAAAAGAAAAAGATTGAAGGAAGAAGTGAAAGGGGGGGGGAGTGTTGAATGGAGGGGAGGCAGAGAGAGGAGGACTTGTCTGCACCGATGGATGATGTGAACACATGTTGTTCTCTGCGTCGCTATGCATTTGATAGACAGTCATCACTGTCTGAGAGAGAGAGAGAGAGGGAGAGAGGGAAGCAGGCTCTCTCTAAGCTTCTACGCTTTCACGGAGCGGTGATGATAACGTGCAGTCGTAATGTGATAGCCTTCCTCCACAGAGGCCAACGCTCGCATGCAGTTTGCACGATTATCTGCATCGCCGTATTGATGTCATCTGTGCATCATTGTTTGTGGTGTCAACACAATGGTTGATGCCTGATCTCACACTGCTGTAGGTGGGCGTTGGGGTGGTGGCTCCTTTACAGCAGATGTCTCCCCTTGAGGAGAGTCTGCCCACTGATAATAACGGAGGAAATGGAGGGGAGAGATGGAAGAAAGAGAATTGTAAGAGAGGGAGGAAACAGAAGGGGGGAAGGAAGGATGAAATGGAGAGAAATGGGAAGAAACGAGAGCTTGATTTAGGAATGGAGAGGGGGAGGGAAAAATGGATTATGGGAGGGAGAAAGAGGAGGTGGCGGGAAAGGAAGATTGGAGAAGGAAGGACGGTCGTTGTCCCGTCATTGCCACTTTTAGAGGAACATCCCATCGGAGGTAATCGGGGCGGGAGAAGCACAAAAAAAAGGAATGGAGAGTGAATAAGACTCGTGATATTCATAAGACATCAGGCGAAGACGTGATGAGATGCCTTCGGGTTGTGCACGGAAGTCCCGCTGAGTCAAAACTAGTGTGCGTCTGTGGTTCAATCTCCACACGGCAGTTCGCTCCTTCCCTTCCTGCGGTCGCTGCTCTGCCTCCACCGCTGCTGCAGCTCCGGGCCTCCACTCCACCATATTAAAAGAAACTGCACGGGGGGGGGGGGGGGGGATACCACTAATCTCTCCGCCTCATTCTCTGTCGTTAGACTCACCGATCACATTTATTCACCTCCCTTTTTTTTTTTTTTTCTGCTCCTACATTCTGTAACACAATTGGATATTGCTGCAGAGAATAGTGTTATTGTGGGCCTGTGGGTGTTAACACCTGTCAAGGACATTGTAGCAAAGGAAAGCAAACCTAAATGGGACTTGGATGTCTTTTCATTAGCTGCAAGGAAAGATCTCCTCAACATCAGAGTATATTCACAAAAAGGAACTGGTACAGAACTGTACAGCGCAGTCATTTTGAGCCGTGAGGAAATGGCTTTACAAATGGAGCGCTGATAACGCGTGTTGATCATCCTAGTATCTCATGCTCTGATGGGGACGAAAAGTAAACCTGACACGGTGCTGTCTTGCTTTCACTTTGGGAAGTGTGCGTGCACGGCAGTTGTACTGCTGCGATTGGCCGTTTCTAATTTGCAGAGTTTCCAGAGCACCACGTTGTTGGGTCTCTGTCTGAAACATTCCCATACTTAGACGATCACGGGCGAGGGTGTTTCACTGCAGCTTGCTCTCTGGGCGAACGCATGCGGATATATTTCTGTGATCGATGCAGAGTTGCCCCGGCCCTACGAGGTGACATCACATACGGTATATTGTGAATGATATAGCGACATAAACTCTGTGAATGATGGACAGAGAGCCCATTACTCCTGCCATTTTCATGCAATATTAGCAGTAGCTCGCAAGTTTCCCTCTCAAAAGGTGATTTGAAAATGAAATTAGACGCCCATCTATGGCATTGAGCGTAGTGTCCGTAAGTTGACTTTACGAACAAGGTGGACTAGAGGTCGGCGAGATGACGTTTAGTCGTCTCATTTAGCCTTTGTTCAAAACAAAACACGTAAAAGCTTCGAAATTCAGGAGTGGGATATTTACTGACTGATTTTATATCGTAGAACTAAACGAAAATAATTCATTAAGCTTGTGTTAACCACAGACCTTATTTCAGGCATCTAATAAAGGAATGATTCTTCTTCTTCTTCTAACCGAAAACCCCGTTGACTTCAAGACCCGGAAGTTCAAAAACGCTCCATCCAGATTACATCTTAATACCAAGTGTAATATATATATCTATCTATATAT